GGTCCAGCGTCTGGTAACTAGTCAATATCTGACCACGATACCCGTTGCTAGAGTACGTTCATCGCTAACGTGCCCGTGCAATTGTCGGTGCGGAATAGAGTGCAAAGTGCAGTCAACATAAAACAACTTATTGCAATTACTAATATATGTTTCCATGCAGAAACCGCTTGCACGTTCGGAATATTAAATGACTCTGACAATTGCATTTTTGTTGCTTGTCATATTGTACCCGTATCGATAGTCCCTCTTCTTAATTCATGGATAGATCCACGTGTCACTATTTGCGGAACGACTGTTTGGTGCATTACGAAAAAGTATCGGATTTAGAATATCCATAGACAGAGCTAGATAGAACACAGAAACAAGTTATGCTCCAAAATCGAAGACGCTGTTTCTAAATGCGAGATAAATGTACATTAAAGTTGCTACTCTACCTAACGTTGTGGACCTTGTCGTAATATCGTCGCGTGCAGATTCAATTTGTTGTAGGAAAACTATTCCACATGTATCGTCAATATAATCCCTACAAGTTTACTACAGCCTCTTACACGTGATATCACCTAATTAAGTTGTTCCTAAATGCTATTAGAAACCTTTACAAACATGGTGTGACGTGATAGCCCAGCGGACAAAAGACTCTTCAACCAAGAAAAATTCTTGGTCCGATTTTTAGACTGCGCTTATCTATCTCTCAAGCCCATATACTTACGGTATGTTATTTACCGTGCTTATATGTTATCAAGTACATTATTTACTCGGCAACTTAATGTTTCATTTCGTCTCACGTTAATTGTTGCTTTATTGTCTTAATCTCTGTGATAAATAGAAATCAAATATGCTGAGATAGCTTCTAAACAAGATGTTTCTAATGACGGCAACGCACGTATGTGCTTGTTTATCGCAGTGGCACATTTTCGAACCAAACAATGGTAGATTCGCTAACATGACATGGTAAAATATGACGCCCACTTACTCATCGCAATTGGACGAGTAACGTCCTTCAACACCTATTGTGTGCTCAGTCGATCTTACAGGGTAAGCAATTTGTTTTAGTTAAATGTAGCAACATATTTAAGTATTGTTATACAATGTCTATTTACTAATTCGCGTGTCCACTTAATTTAGACATGGTTTAGTTTAACTGGATCACGGTTGGGCCTATTCGCCCCTTGTTCATTAGCTGTTCTATTGTATACAGGCTATTTGTAAGAAGCTTCTAGAAGAAATTTGCAAATGCATATAGTACAAGCTTGTTCACTGACGATTATGCCTCTTTTTAGGCTACAGTAAAAAGTACTTATGCGAAGTGCCTTAAAGGGTTATTTCTTCGGCCTATGATCCGGTATTCACTTACGCAGGCTTCATGGTGCTATATACTATAGTTTTGTACTATGTACATAGTATATATGTACACGTATGCGTATATAGACATCTTGTCATACGCAGTTGCTTGCCTGCCTTTCTTTTGCAGCTTTCCACCTCTTACATGGACATTCATAAGACACGCAGCAGAGTGAAAAGGAACAACGACAATGAAAGTGAACTATGGCTATACTATACCTTCGCATCAAAAAAATTTTACCATACTGCGTGCACAAAGCGCTATATCTACAAAGCACCGGAATACTGCTAGTTACTACAATTGACACTCTCCTCCACCAGCCTTCCGACAACATTTTATATGCTTACCTGCTACGCCACAGTTATATATGAATCAAGTTACACGCTCGAAGTTATATACGAATAAAACCTATAGCCTCAGCCCCCAACTGCAGGGAAATAGATAGAGTCAAAGCGATAGAGTGAATGGGTAGATAACTTGCAAAGGAACTTAGGAGAAAGAATGAACGTTGATTAAGCGAACACAAACAGATAAACTTCCATTGTGCCGCCGCCATTGCGCTCCTCGTTCCAACGGCGTATGCTACCTGCGAGTGTGCGTGGGTCCGTTCGTCGTTCGGTCGAGCTTTCCCGCTCACCAATGAGTGGCAGTGGTGGGCGACAGACAGGCAAAGCATGCCGTTAGTGGCAGGATAGCCTCAGCAGCTCCTTGCCTTGGCTTTCCTTTGCACTTTCCCCGTTTTGTCGCTCACTTTCTCTCTCCCTCTCTCTCTTTCTGTTTCTTGGTCTTTCTTCTCTATAAAGAGCCAATCTTTTTTCTTTTCTATAAAGAGGCAGAAGATAGCTACCGACAAAGCTCCTTGGTGTTCGCGTACGACTAGAGAGCAGAATTCAACAAAACGAGGAGCAGCAGTCAAGAAGAACGGCTGGCGGTGAGTAACTGACATCTCTAATGTGGGACGCTGGGCCCCGGCCACGTGCGTCGGACGAGGTCTCCGTCAAAGGCACTCATTATCAGTTCCGCCCGAGGCTGAATGTATTGGTTTTCTTGCTTTCTCCTCACTAATCTCCAAGCATGCCTGCCCCACACGACCAACGGCTATCCACTTCCCCCGAAGTCATCGTCTTCTTCATCGTTGGCATTTCTACTGCTCCCGGGATGCCACTCAGCAATAACGGCAAACCGGCTGCTACACTAGTCAGTGAACCGACTGCTGGTTTATTGTGTATTTGCGCCGTGGTTGGCAACCTGGCCTTCTTAATTCGACGAGGTAAACATACTAGGCGCCAGAAAACTTCTGTTGTACTCTAGCAAACGTGTACTGATTTCGATATATGACATCAGTCTATATTGCACGGTTGTATGAAATCTTACTCAATGGATAAACAGCCGATCGTCCTAGTGCTCACAGTCATACAATAGTGTGACGACACTGAAGGTGAGATTTCTTATATATGGGTGTATGTCACTGTGTGCCTAAAAGTACGAGAACAGACTGTATCTTCGCGTCTAGCTGTTGCTATTAGTTCAGAGCAGTTAATGCGTTGTCCGGAGCGTTAATCCATTAGTTAGCAAAGATGATAAAGACAGAGAAAGCAGGTAAAAATTAACAAAAAAGAAGCCTAACCAGGGGGAGGCCGACAACAGAGACTCTTGGAAATGTTGCGGTCGACTAACGAATCAGTGGCTGGATGCTACTGAAAGAAGGTCCTGCAAGGAAGATTTAGGGTCGAGGATTCCCCGCATGGAAGAACATTCAGGTCCCTCGATGACTTAATGCAGAAGCCTAACTAAGGAGTAACTTCGTCAAGGCCAGAGGGCACACGTTTTTCTTGGATGTGGGATTACTCGCACATCACATTAGATAAAGGAACATATATTGCTCGAGTATTACAAAGATAATAAATGTGACCTAGGGCGTTGGCAGATTGGAACGGTTAGTCAGAAGCTACTACGAAGGTACACACTAATTGAGCAAATAAAGAGAATATACAGTGGAAAATGCAGAACGTTCATAAGACAAAGATGAAAGCCCACCTTTTTTATATACAGTGTGCGCATGGCTGTATATAATTCAACAGCCTCGATTACCTCTACAACCTGATATTATTTAATAGAAAATGTCTAAGAAATATGCTAACCATAGTATGACGTGAAAAGGCATTTCGGCGTTTATCTTTCAATATACTTATCGAATAATCTAAGTCAATTTACGTAAAACGAGAGGCTTGGTGTTGAGAGTTGTGAAAGAAAATTAAATGAATTAAGCTGCCCGTATAAGTAGGTCACATATGAACCTGTGGTTTTACTAAAAAAAATTAACGAACTTAAAAAATAAGCATTATTGTACTATATAACCTACAAAAATGTTTGAATCTCCGACGTGGACTTTAAGATGGCTCATTTTTTTACTGCGTTGGACACAACTGCTTTCGATTTCAATTCTAGATTCCCAAAAACAATCCTCAAAACCAGAAACTTAACCCCGCGCTAAATGGTCGTGATTTCCACACACGAACTTTCATCACGTGTCTATTGATGAGCATTAACTTGCGCGAAGCATTACATGTCTACTGTATGCGGAAAACTTCTATATATTTTGGAACTTGTTCCATACGTAGATTAGAAATTTTATAACTTGACTACGAATTAGATATATTTCATACTGTTTAATCCTGGTATATAATAATAAGTTCCTCGATGCCATTCTGATAGATTTCGCATTGCTAAAAGCTACGGATCAAACAATTGTACGATATCAAAACACAGTAACACATCTTACATAGCACAGTATAGCCTAAATGATTTGATGTACAATGCAGATATTGACTAAACAAGTTTTGCACTAATAGAACAGTCTGTCAGTTAGGTATTTTGCTAAATTATTTTAGAGGATGTAGCATCTTGGCTGAAAATTCATGGATAGTCGAGTTGGCCTATAGTGGTTAACTAAAACCATGACAGAACTATAGTTCTCAAGGATAAAAACAGCTGGATTTGTTCGACATTTTCGACTAAACAAAAAATCGGCACTTCTCGACAATTTTATCTAATGAAAACTAATGAGGCCTTCTGAAAATGTTTATAATGACCAAAACCCGTTAGAAGATTATTACGTTATAGTCTTCATAACGTGTTATTAACGATTATAACGTGTGTGTTTCAATTATAGTCAATAGCACATTGGGTCATTTGGCCCACTATTTGTACGTACCGAGCGTATACGAAGAAGTATAATGTTCACGTCGTAATTTTTAGCGGCTTACATGTTTTTTTTTTTGGAGTAAATAAGCAATCAAAACAGCACTTCAGGTTGCTACGGGACCTTGCTGACACAGGTGTGGCAATCCTTAGAAAATTCGAAATCTCAGGTGTACAATATTTTCTAGGATTTGGCAAAGATAGAAGCCAAGGCCTGAAATTTCCTCCGAAAATTGTTGTTTTCACTGGAAATTCGAACTTACTTTTGGCATACAAAGAAAGGGCGAAGACACACGTTCAGTTTTGTTTGTTTCAAGAACGTGCTTTAACTCAACCTGACAAGCATTAGCAGATATTGTAAGTTAGAATGTTAGTAGTATTAATGCAAACCAGAGCAATCATCCTTCTTTTAGTTTTTTCCTCACCACCTTATAATAATAATAGTAAAGTCACCTACCTTTTGAGAAAGTCGAGAAACGTCAACCGATGCGAGTAACCCATTTGGCGAATACGGATCGTCTCAAGAACGCCGGTACAGCGTAGTTGATTGAGTACCTTGTCCTTCTGCAATCGCATCGGCGTTCTCTGTTCGTTGGGTTTAATGCAACGGACGAAATGTGGGCTACCCGAGATCATTTTCTGAAGGAGGCTCATGAGAGAGTAACGGAAGTATCCACCCATTGTCTGGATCGCCTTCGATTGCTGTATAGCACAGAGTTAACACAGTCGAACATGCGGATGCATATGAGACCGTGCATGTATGCGAGAGCAGTGCGTGACACAGCAGTAACGCGCGTGTCCACAAGGGATCGCCCGACCAGGATGAACGATACAGCAGTGGATTCAGTTATGCCAGCCAACGAGACAGGCGATATACGCCGCGTAAGCCAATGCAGAGATGCCGACAAGCCGATCAACAGAAAACGCAGGTAAGTATAAAAGGCGATCATCCATACGTCGCCAGCAACCCCGACAGCGTCGTGGTGAAGTGTTGTGTTATCGATGAGGGCAAAGGAAGACAGGAGGTGGGACAGCGTAGACGGATACGTGAAGATGCAGCGGATAGATTGGCGCACGTGAGGTAAAGACGGAGGCATCATGTACGTTTGATTGGTTGATTGATTGATGTACAGGATCGCGGCGGCGGCCAGCAACAGCCATAACGTTATCATATAGATGATCGAACACGAATAGGAACGATGACGAAGACAATGGCGCCCACATAGAACAAAAAAGAGGCACAAAGAAAATGTATCCGCGTCATTATCGCATCACTGGAAGCGTTGTAAGACGACGGGAAAAGATACAGCTAGGCCACGCTGGGAAAAATGAACCAGTCGAGGATACCTTTTGGCGTCGTCTTCGAAGAATACGCTCGCAAGGAGCCGGAGAATCGCTAAGTGTCCATATGAACATGCGTAAATAGACTCACAAACTTTATTTCAGTATCAATTTCTGTAGACCCTACCTATTGCCTCTCGACAGTGTGACGTATCCCATAGAGAGTAGAAATCACTTTGTCCAAAACGGGGAGAAGATGCATCGTGAATGTTATGAGGGAACTGAACGCCAAGACGGGTAAAAAGTGACAAATTGCTAATCGAGCAAGAGCCCAGACAAATGCTCATAGAAAGGGTTGAAAGGAAAAGATAAAGGGGGACTGGCAGCGCTAACGACGTTAAAACTCCTATGATGTACTAGGTGACTAAATGTGCTGTAAAAATGTAGGGTACTGACTGAGTTTGGTTGTTCGGAAGTGCTCACCGTCGTCCAAAGGAAAGTTTCTGTTGTCATGGGCACTTTGTGAAATGGATGTGCTATGAGCTAGATAGTATTAGTTGGAAGCGAATGGCTTGATTCAAGCCAATGATGTCACATTTGGAAACGTCTGGTTGGGATTTTGACGTTAGCGAAAAGGCGCATAGAGCATGAACAGCAAACGAGCACCGTTAAGTGAACCTATTATCACACGTGGTCTCCTCTCGCACATGTTCGGTATATATCACCAGTTATTTTACAAGTAGACTACCGGCATGTCCCATCGATGACAGAAATCTGGAAGTTAATCATGCATAGGTACTCAGGAGGGCATTGGAGCTTAACAGTAAATAGGTTTTGACACTTTTCTTAGACGTGCAAGGCCCTAATAGAACGGTAGGTGCAGTGACTGAGTACAGAGGACAGTGCGTTGAAGTTTTATTTTTAAAAGCATGTTATGCCGAATTTAAATATTATCAGGTTGTATAGTAAATTCGATAAGCTATTCGTAGATTCGCGGTTGTTAATAGTACTAATTGCAGACACCAGACACTTCTGTATCTGGGTCTTGAAAACGTTGAAACTTTATTATGGCGTCAATCTTAGGAAAAATTTCCAGTCTGTTTCTGCAGATCATGTTCAGCTTTTGCCCAGTATCACGCTTTATGTACACGTATATATGTGTAATAATGTATCCGGTCCTACCTTCAGAGTTTGAGCCAGCGTTTATGTGTAATATACACGGGTGGAAAATAGGGGTTACTAGCAGAGCCAAAAGCAGGCTTACACTTGGCCTGAAATGGTAGGCTTATAGTTGGATATTTGCGTGTTTGAGTGTGGCTAGGACTCACTCTACAGCAATCGCAACGTCGATCACTGAAACTCGTAGAAAAACGGATAGTGTGCGTGTAAGCAAATACGCGCCAACAATATTGAAAGGCACACACGCCTAGGTACATACGATGAAGTTGTCTGTATATTATAATGTTAACATGTTACTGCAAATGCCAGGCGGCGACAAACAGATAAATATACGATGTACATGTCAATGTCTATTTTGTATATGGTATGTTACGCTTTAAGAACAACTAGGATTACCTTTGGGTCTCCGACGTTAATTGGCGTGTTCAGAAACGTTGTCGATACAGGAAACAGTGCACTTAGCACGGAGAGGCTCGACCTGCAAGACCAAGCGCCAATTTTCCTAAATACATAAGGATTTTAGCCTTGTCTGTCAATGTATAAATCGAACATCTAGAATCAACTCAATTGACCCACAATGTTAACGCGTCTTAATTTCTTTGGAGCCCGGTGTATTGTAGTTTCTCGTGCATTAAAATAATTTAATAAGTTTGAATATTGTTATCAAGTTCAGAATATTGCCAGCGGCTGCCGTAGAAAGCATTATATAATTGCGATGTATGAAAAATCATTGAGATTGACTTTATATTTTGACAGAAAATTGCAGTAAGCAGCCGCGGCAAACCCCGCTATTAGATTAGGGACCGCGCTTCAAAAACACTGCGGTAGCTAGCCGTCGTCTATGATTTACCGGCCTCATGCCTTTATATATTCCAGTTCATAACTTACTATTCGAATGTTACTACATGTACGTTTCTCGAACCTACCGACTGAGAAGCTGAATTAAGCATGTTGGAAGGTGATTCCGGTTTTTCTTCAGAAAGCTTCGCGCGTCATAGGTCACTGGACCGGCATAGTGTAGTACAGCGAATTGAAGCGTCCGACTCGACTTCGGCCGGAGATAGTGCGAAGATTTAATGTTTGTGTGGAACTTGTCTGGACCCACCCCATGAAACGAACAAAAAGTTGTGAAGATAATGGGTTGAGTTAAAAATGATTTTTTAGGATCAGATTAATTAAATTCACACAACGAGTAACTAATGAACTACTAAAGTGCAAATAAGGTCAGGTTAACTTTTTTGTAGAGAATTATTCTATACAGAGATATTGATTGGTTGTCTTAATGTTTATTTCCTTGAAACGTCAACCAACGAAGCGTTATATATATATATATATATATATAAATGCTCTTTAACATATCATAGCTTACAGAACGGTGAAACAAGCATAGATTACCGCCTTTATCTCATTTAATGGCTCGTTTGCTCAATATGATTCTATTTTTGAATTAGATGATCGAGGATACAATGTTACAATAATTAGCTATAATATATATATATTTAATGGCCGGCTTAGAGTTTGTTTATATATTCTCATGATTTGCCTCTAGGCCGGGTGGGCTATGAGCATGGATCAAGCTTCCAGTAAAGTTTACCGTATTCAGAAACGGTCAGCTGCTGTCGTTTATAGCTTCCTTTGTGTAAAATTTGAGTTCAGCCTCATCAGTCAAACGAGAAATGATGAAAAACCTGTCTTATCTATTGTAGGTAATGAAATATTGCATTTATCACCATTTGTGATCGGCCAGCGTGGTCAAATCGTACGAGCTTGTGGCCACATCTTTCCTGAACATGATTAATCTCAAGCCAATAATATTGGGGGGTCCTACGAGAGACTGGAGAAGCTGCTTCCCAGGTTAAAGTCGATATCAACGTCGTTACCAAACGACCGCGCGTTAACTAGAAGAGACCTAGGCAGCTATATATGCTAATGCTGAAAAGGCTAATTTATTATATAAAAGAAAAAGAAAACATACAGTTTTCAAATCAGGATCAACTATTTAGCTAGTTATGAGCTGTGCGATTGGCATCGGCACTAACTGATCAATTGTGATCAGCAAGGTTGTGCTTTTCAAAAACAGAAACAGCATAAGAGAATCTACCTGGGAAATCGGACGGACGCAGATAGAAGCAAACAGAAGAGAAACTGGGCAAATCTGACGTCTAGATTGACTGATACAGCATTGTCTAGGCTTTTTGAAATTAAATCAACGTGCATGTATCAAAAGCCAATTCGAACGTTGTAAATGAGCTGACGTGGCCTCAATATATTTCACGATTATTCAAAATCTGGCTTAATTTATAGGTCACGCATCATTGCAACTTTATATCTAATCACAAAACTAAGACTACGTAACTCAACTATCCGCCTCAAGGGCAGCGTCATGAAAACGTGAATAGGAAATTGTGTAATAGCTTCATTATAATCAATATATAAGGTTGTGAGCCAGCCAATAAAGCAATGTTATTTACTCACTCGTTCCGATACCTGTGACTTGATACTATTAAGGTAAGCAATGCAAATAGGATTGCACCAACTAGAAATAGAAAGAAGAGAAAGCTTAAATTGGTCTAGTAAAACCCACTGCAGTTAGACACCCACAGGGGGCAAAGTCTTGATGCTCACACCTAAAAAGAGGCAGTTCCGGGAACTTGTCAACACGCGAGGAAATAGCTGAAAGTACTGAACAAATAGTAATATAAAAGTATGTTTTTTCTTATGCAAGCTGTGCTTCCTCACAAAGCAATGCTTTACAAGCTAGAGACACTGTCAGATGCCCTAATAGCGAATTATGGCTATTGATATTTGTTCTTAAAAAGCCAAATAAATATGAAGATCAACATTAAAATTACAGCAGCGACGCCGAACGATGTTGAATCAGGAACAGGACTCTGAACAGTTCCTGAGCTCTTGGACTACGTGAATCTCCAAGATGTCGCAGGAGGGATGGAGGCAAAGCACCCACTTGACTGGAGCCCCACGAAGGAACCATGGGTAAAGATACTTGGGACGTGGCTGACTAGGCTGCATTTTTAGAGGAAGCGGAAGTTCTCAACAGGCGGAAACGGATCGAGTTCGGCTTCTCTCTTCTCCTTGTTTCAGCATCATCCGCATCTCTTTCTGTCCTCTCCCCCTTCGGCCTTTTGCCTCGACGCTTTCAGCCCGCCTCCACCCTGGTCCTAGCAGTGACGTGTTTCTTCTTCCACTGTATATTCACCTTATGGCCGCAAGTACATCCGTCTGCGGGTAGGTATGGCTGCATAGTCGTACATGTAAATACTGTAGATAAGATAATGGGCAGAGACGGTAAAACGGAATCGCTGCGCAACTCGTTATTCTTTCGGGCTCTCTCTTTCTGTGTCGCACTCTTTGTAAGCGGGTATACTCTATGACTAGTAGCTGACCGCCTTTTTCTGCTTGGCCTATGCGTTGCTTCCTGCGTCCAGCTGCACGTTCAATAGGCACAGAGTAAGATGAGCATTACAGCCCAGCAGATCAGGCAGGTCCCCAGGCCAAAAAACACCATCGTGCGATGGCGGGAGCGCCGCCTCTTGACCTTTAATAACACCTTGCTCAAGCAGAAAAAGTTCGAACAGATGTGCTTATGTGAATGTGCGAGGTTTTGCTAAAACAAAGTAAAGGCCAGGAGGCTGCAGAAGCAGGTGGAAGGCGTAGTAGAGGTAACGGACACGGTGGTAGGATATGTGGCCCTGGATAGAGGATAGTGACCTCAGTGGTGAGATTTACCCAAGGAGAAACGGATATTGGCGAACGATAGAATTCTTTTCCTACGATCATTTTACGATAGCAGAATGCAGCGAGAACGCTGTATATAACGCCCAACACGAAGTCGCAGACACCAGTGTATGGATCGCAACAGCAACGTAAATGTGTACAAAATTTTTTTTATACTATGGCTCGAATTGTAGCGGTGGCGTACTGTTCGTTTTACAATCATTTTTGTATGCAGTATACCTTAGCTTTAACGGTTAGATACCAATCAAACGAACAATAAAGAAAGAATTCGGTTGACAAAATGTCGGCCATGCTTACTATAGCCACAGGTGTAACCCTTTGTTCAAAAACAAGTGAACCGTTTGGATTTTTGTGCCGCTGGATGGTTCCTTCTAACACTACGTCAGCTGTAATAAAAAAGCATGGCTCTTACCGCACGAAGGTGAAGTCTCATAAGAATCTGATGTAATCTTGAGTTTTCCGCTGAGATTCTGTAAGCCTATATATTGGGTGTTTTGCAAGCAATGAGCACGTATTGGATTTTCTTTAAAAAAAATAAAATAAAACGCCAGAAAAAAATAGGCATTAAAAATAAGGCCACAGCGAGTAAACTAAAACGCAGTACTTCGAGTATTGGTTCAAAAACGAACTCCGGTCAACAGAAGACACACGATCCAGGGCCCAAAACCAAGTTGCCCATCATGGGTTTCTTCGACTGTCGGAGAATCGTTCATGATTAGTTCATGCTGTCCGGCTCTATGGTCACCAAAAAATACTATCAAAAAGATTTTAAAAAAGACGCAAGAAACCAAAACGACGGCAAAACGAGCTCTAAGCCCTCTATTACGACAACGCACCGGCCCACACTTCACTACCCGTATAGCAGTTTTTACAGAAAAAAGTCGATGCATTCGTTACGCCAGCTTTCATATTTACTGGACCGAGCCTCTGCGATTGTCTCCTATTCCCAAAACTAGAAAAAATTGTGAAGGGAAAGCATGTCAATAAGTTATAAAAGAAATAAAAAAAAATCGTTAATCGAGCTGACAGCCATTGCGGCGATCGAGTTTGAAGTATTTTGAGAAGTAAAAAATGCTGGAGTGAGTGTTGCATCCGACGAAGATTATTTAGAAGGGGGCGACTGAATCTAAGACGATTAAATAAACGACTCATTAATTTTTTTAACGAAGCGATATACAGACAGAACTTTTAGCGCCTTTTAGTATACGGGTACGGACGAGCATTTACTGATATATATAATAGGTGAGTGCCAGATTTCATAAACAAAACTCTACTTCTGGAAAGAGCTCATGAAGACCTCTATTAAAATATCTAGGTCAGTCTCGCCGCTCATAGAGCGTAATGTAATGCCATTCAGGCAACCATGATCTGTGAAGCTTCAGTTCACATGACTAGGGCTAAAGAGAAACGTACTACGCTGTCCGCTCTGTAGTATTATGGTACTTGTATTGACTAGTATGAGCGCATGTAAGAAGCTTCTATTTGAGACTTGACAAAGGGATCGGAACTTGGCAGCTAAGGCGATTTGCGATTGTTGCCATTTTTGTTGGCGTACTTCAAACCGATTGCTGCCTCAGCACGTCATGACCTGTCGGACCGGCGATTATTTAGCTAAAGAGCCATAATTGGAACAGGACAAAAATTAGTACAACCAACATAAAGAAAAGATGCAACGGCCACCTACTCACTCTCATCCGCTGGCGTTTCTGCAGCTCATACACGGTCGCATAACGTTTGTCCCCGGATGGCTGGTTGCGCTAAATGCAATATAGCCTGCCAGCCCGCTCGGCTGAGAAAAGCTTTCAGCCGAGCTGGCGCCAATCTTTCTTTCGTCATCGGCAGCATTGAAAAACCCTATCAAATGGCAATAGTGCAATGTGTGGCACGAGTGAAAAGAAAGTCATTCCATACTGCCTCGACTGCTACTGCTAACCTTGGTGCAGATTATCTGATACTTCTCGGATGTCCAATACCGGAATGAGATCAGCAGCTTACAGGTCACCGGTTTGCATCGGCGGGACGAATTGTATCCATGAAAAGGTGGAAAAAGCTTACTGGTCTCTATTCTGTAATAGCTAAATATGAAGAAGCTAAGCTCATAGGAAAGTAGTACGGTTGTTCGGCTCCGTCTGCTGTTACCTGGATACCTCCAGCAACAGTGCTCACTACCAGTTGTACTAGCCAGTATGCTACATGACTTTTGCAATGTACTACAGAAATGTGGAGAGGTAGAAAGAACTGTAACTTACATGTCTCTTCTCGAACCTTGTTTCCCGATTTAGTTTTCATGCTGCCGTTTGGTCGTTGTAGTGCCGTAATGCGACGTCCAATGAAACATCAAAACCTTACGAAAGATGTGTCAGTGTTCGTCGTTGCTGTGGCAGTGAGGATGTCGATAACGGGATACAGTGGTCGGAGGATAGGGGTGTTTTAGGTGATTCTTTACTTTGTTCTTTTGATTTACTTTCCTTTATCTCTATCTTGTCTGGCCACTTTGGCCTTTGGTCTTTATTGCCTGCAGCCATTGTGTCTCAACTGCATCAGCGACTGTGATGTATACGGCGGTCGCTGTTTTACCTTGTCCGAAGCTAATTCACGAGCTTGAATCGCGTACGAGATATGAGAGGAAACAGGTGTGAGAGGGAGCGAACTATAGGCCTGAAGAGCTGACGTGAGACAGAAACATCCTGTCATCCGGCCCTTTAGATGTCCTCGAGGACGGCATGAACGTTAGGGTTTCGCGAAAATATTCGTGTAAAAAGAGGGGTCGAGGAGGTAAGGCTAGAAATGGACGCTCGCTTGGGTTTCGAGTATGTTAGAGTGTAAGTCGGCTCTCTGGATATATGTCGACAAATTCTCAATCTCTTTCCAATGACCACCTCTGCTTTGCAGTGGCCTTCTACCAATATTCTCGAGACTAGCCCGCGGTCCTTAGACCTTAGCCACTTTCCCCATGCAAACGGTGGTAAGCCTCGATAGGCTAATCGAGAACATCACCACACAGAATACAGCCTTGTAAAAGCTCTTTTGCGGGTACTCTTGGTTCCTGCCCGTCCTGCCGCCTTCAGTTCATCCTCGATTTCGATTAGTCCCGACAATTTGATGTGTAGAGCCGGCCAGCTGGCCCGTGAGAATTTCGACATTCCATCCCATAGAGTATATTGGAAGTAGTGGGACATTTTACACTAGTTCAGCCGGCTTTTAATCTCTAGCGCAGATACCTCTTAGGAGAAGGCGGATGCCGACATGTGGATGGGCGTCATCAACATTTCTATATGTCACACAGATACAGAAATTCAATATACCTCAGAAAGTTAATTTGCTAAAGAATATTTTCGAAAAGCCGGGGGCACGAAACCGGTACACAGCCCAATTGTAAGCCAGTAGCTAGAGCTTGTGGATCATGTTTAGTGAAACACTACTATTTATACTAGATACAATTGGTTTAATAAATACATTTTTTAGATCTAGGTGAAGCTCACGCGAGCAGATTCGATTAACGAATGTAAGCTAATTCAACAACGCAGTAGTGGTCCTTATACATATATATATATATATATATATATATATATATATATATATATATATATATATACACACACTAGAAAATGCAAAGACAATAACATTAAAATGCGCTTTTAACTTGGATTTTCTGAAGCGACTGGTGGATACACTGAGCAATTTACATTCAGATACATAAATAAAAAATGTAAACTTTAATTCATTAATTGTTTTTCCAGTTCTGAACAAGGCTATAGCATTAAATATGCTACTTAAGTCCATCTCGTGATCTACGCGAACTTAGATGTGTATTCTAGATGTAAAACTTCTACTTTCTATAAGACAAGTAACAGTCTCATTTATTAGCTATTAGTGGTGGCCAGCGCATGCTAAAACTAAAAACGTATATAAACGAATCTATCTTCTATTCGTATATAATAAGGTATTACAGGACCGAGGGCCGTTACAGACAGGCTTGTTTATCAATACAGTTACTTTATTGGTAACGCTTACTGTTGATTTAGAAAGCATATGGCGTATTTGAGAAGCACCGAAGGCATCAAGCGCGCCTAATAGCAAGATTTCGTATGCGTAGCTCGGTATGGTATCACTTGGTGATATATTCGTTAAAGCAACGATCGAATCGATATCTTTTTTTTCTCAAATAATCACAATTGTTATCCCGTTTATTCTAGGTATGTACTGTTTCACAATAACATCCCACAAACTGTGAAAGGACATCAGAAAAAACGGCACCAACCTTAACATGGACAGCATATTTTCCTCTTTGAACTTTTCATGCTATTTTTCAGTAAAAAAAACCGTCTTGCTGTATGCTTCTTCTCGGGCAGTCCTATAGTACGTCTGTGCAATTTGCCGATTATAGAATAAGAATTATCTGCGTCCCTGCGGACATGACCGGCTTTTCAGCTGTATCTTGTAGCGTAGAATTGTGCAAGGACATAAGCCGCGCTGGCGTCCCAATGTTAACCGATCCTCTGGCTAAACTGTTGAGGTCATACCATACATTCGAATCCCTTCTTTGCGACGCAAGTCCAGCAGTTAGCACCTGGCCGGGATATTCTGTGACTAAAGTGCGCAAGCGGCCACACCGTTTGTGAGCGCGCCTAGGGAGCACTTGGGTGCCAGCCCTTGTTATTCCGGTAAACGCACGTTTGACATAGCCCCTTCGATTCTCATATCCGTGCTTCCAGCCGCAGCGTTGTGCTGGCAAATTGTTGTTTGACAAATGCCACAATGTAATGGCCTATTGTTACTCACAACTTGACGGGCGAACCATTTCCTGAAGGCGAACGGCTTATCTAACTTGTTTACAGAAGTGCACGCGACCTTATCGTACTTATTTACATCTCAGTCGTCTAAATTTGTATCGGCAAAACCTTGTTTTGGCAGAGTTTAACTGTAGCTGATATGTTTACAGCGTTCGGTGTCCGACCAGTCTACTGAGGCATGCTAAGACCGTCGACTGGATTCTATGAGCACCATTGCAGCAAATAAACAACTGGTGTTCTAACGCAATATCTGGCCCGAAATGCTTACGGTGAGGACACTAAGCAGCAGTGATATCAAAAGAGATTCACTCCGGAATAGCTTACTGCTCCAAAATTGTCGAGCGGCGAAAGTGAGAAGGCTATTGTGTCAACTAACTACTGCTCAGGTCAAGGAGTTCAAGGCCTTTGTGGCAAGAGTGGTACTTTTTAGCTACGGGTAGACCCTGGGGTAAAGGCTTTTAAAAAGATTCCTGCACACCGACGTAAATATTATAGATCTCTAGAAAAAACACGTTAAGCTATTGTATAACAAACAGTTCGCTTTTTAAGTCATTAAGGAGAGATCAAGCTGAAGCCCTTTTGCCGTTGGAGCACCTTTTCAAGACTTCTGGAAAAACGGCTTGGCCGTTACAACGTGCCGTCGCCTAAATACCGCCTGACTCGAAGTTTTCTAAGGAAGTTCTGCAATCTCACGCAGGATAACACCTGTCTGCAAAAATCCGGTTATTTAAAACTGCAAAGGTTGTTATCTTGTTCCCAACGGTAAATCTTAATCATAGTGGTGCATCTGGTATAACAGCCTTGACAGCATACAAAGCCAAGCCCATCCCACTGACTTATACCAGTGATCATTAGAACAGCGATATGCTAATTAGCTTAATTTTTGCAGCTTCTTCACACGCAATGTTTCTTTCTTTACATTTTCCAAGATCGCACATATACGAACTTACCAATTAAGCTTTGGTCCGTAGCTTTCGGAAAATTTGACTCCTCGTCAAGCAATGCTAGAAGACCAATGGGTCGGCTCAAGAACATGTCGAGAACTGGCCGATTATCGCTGAAGCTCACCGAATTCAGGTTTAGGCCCTCATTAGCATATTCTTGCTGAAACGTCATACCAAACACCCCAAAGAAATATGTGAGAACGTTGACACACATAGAAAAAATCGAGACGTATTTTTATTTAGAACCTATATTCTCCTATGTTACTGTATATTATGCATCACATATAAGACCTCAAAGACACCAGCGTTTAACGATGAGACTATGCTAGGCTTAACGATCGCGCAGTGTTTTCGATCACCCACCAACGCTTAGTTATTTTCATTATACATGTGTGAGACTAATATTATTTAGAAAAGGGCTTGTTAAAATGAAAAAAAACCTGTTGACGTTCAGGGTGGTAAAGGAAAGGGGCATGGGGTACCTGAACCCTAGAAAATATAGCAGAGACTAGGGAACAACAGTAAAGTTTATCGTATTGAAAGATTCATACGTCAGGATATCTGACATTCGTCATCGAACTATCAAAGACGCGTTTTGTGCATTGTTGCCCATCACAGTTGAATTATAATATAGGTAGTGTATATAATATTTGCTTTTGTTGATTGTATAATTACTTTAGTATTGATGAATACCTGTTCGAGGGAAAAAACGTGCTTGTTGAAGTAATACTGGATCTGTTCGTTAGCGATGTTAATACAAAGCTGTTCAAATGAATTCCGTTCGAAGTTCTCGTAGCCAAAAATGTCAAGTAGAGCGATCGATTTGTCCGAGCTAAATATAGAAAAATACAGAAAGAACCCAGTTAACAATCATACGAAATAAACATGCCTTATTGACAAAACTGGTTAAAATTTTCCAGTTTTCTGTGAATTACAGATAGACAAACGGACGCACTGATTTTCGGGAGGGCAAGAATGTTTATAGCCGAGGTCTCGGTTAATCTGGTTGACGATCCAATCAAAGAGTCTCCCATAAAGAGCCTTTGCCATAGCGTCTTTCGAGGTTTCGGCTTCTTGTGCAGTGCTTGGTCGAATAATGATTTCGCCACGCATGTTAATTGAACTGGTACTTAACGCCTTCAGAAGATCAGCAGGTTCAAGGCCCAGCAACTTGGCGACTGTAGACAAAAAATGAGGAACAATGAAACAATAATTATCAAATAAAGTCTAGGACTATAAAATAAACATAATCAGATATAAACCAAGCAATTATTTATAGCTGATTAAGCTGTGCGATACAAAGAGGTTCCTGTTAGGAAATGCGGCCAGTTTACACATATGGTTGGCAATATAAACTTTATGTTGCAAGTCCCAGTCTATACTCTACATTATACCAGGACTTTTCCCTGCCGTAGTCTATGAAAGAAAATAAAAAAATAACAATTTCGTAAACAGTAGAATTTGCGAAGGGACAATAGATTTAATTAGATACCGGATTAAAAAGAGGCCCAACTGCTAGCGACAATGGTATCGTCTGCATACACCGCTGATTTAATAACAGACAGTGCTCAAATACTCTGTGAGTGTATTATGAGCTCACGTTGACAAACTCATTCGAATCATAAAGACGTGCAGATATGGCAATCCAGTGTTTTCGACCAGAAAATGTTTGCCCGATAAATATAGTGCGTGTATAAGTTTAGGCTTTACTTTATTACAGCTTTCGTCCGTTGAACTTCAAACATATCTTTGCGTTTCATGGGCCTTTGTGAGGACTACCGAACTAAGCTAACTGCTGCTGATACACAGAGCTTTCTAGGATCTGGATTGTGAGTACGCTATTCGCGTACCAGCGCTATCACCGATGGATTTAGAAGTAGGACATCGTTTTCCTGTCTTATCATCATAATAATAGTCTGTTCAATTAGTGACGCGTAAAACATACTAACAACTCATTCATTTTACACACGTCGTTCAGATATCGTTAGATATAAATAAATGAATGAATGCATGCTGAATCTTTCATAAAGAGCTCGGGTTCCTTCAAATGAGGTGGCCTATAGACACCATTTTAAGAGCGATCAGCCATATCAGTATACGAGTTACAGAAAATGTCATGAACGTTTGGTGAATATTTATAACAGATGTTGTTAGCACCTTCAGGCATATGTCGATTTTATTTCTGTTTCGTAATGTAAGTGTTAAAAACTTAATCTTGATACAGCTAGCCTCGAACTACCGCTTACCTAGACATGTGCCCGGGCATACAGAACGCTAGAAAGCTAATACCTTTTTTTTAGAAGCTGTTCATTGGCTTATCTTCGCTCGGAATAAAAATTGGATGCGTGATGCTCACAATGAAATATTTGTATCATTAACTTATCTATGTTTTTATAAATTGTTTATGTTTTTTTTTATAAATTGTTTATGTTTTATAATATGTTTTTATAAATTGTTAGCCTGTTTAAGTGTGCTTCACGATCCAATCCGCTAAATCTGTTAGTCTGGCTACCCAGCCGCCCCTTGGATGACCTCGCTCAAGAAGTGCTTCTAGTTTTTGTTCACTGTAGACCCGTGATTCTTTCTAGAGAAAAGCAAACAAAAGGACGGTCATTGATAATATCTGGAAAAAAAGTTGAAGCTGGCGAAGCCTCGTAGGCACTGCAGTACGAGCGAGGGGAAACACAAAAGCAGGTCACAGGACAGCAGCCACCGTAGAGCCTCTAGAGTAGAGAGACCTCGCTACTACGCTCTACTACGCTCATTCCTGTTTACTGACCTTGAAGCGAAAGAGTAAATCTTACGCAAAAGAAATCACAACGACGACCCTTGTTCTAAATCTTATGCCGTCCGTTATATTGAGAAAAAAAGACACAAAAAATACAGGGATACTACAGATACAGAGAAGGAGGGAGGGAGGGAGGGAAGGAAGCAGGGAGAGAGAAAGAGAAGGAGTTTGCTCAAAGGATGAAGGAACTGTGATATGATGCGTGGATTGGAAAGAAGCTCGATTATTTTGGGGTTCTCAGCTGAGCCCACCCAATTTCAGTTGATCGGACGAGTTAGATTCGACCCCAGGGATACCGCCTGCCCCTCCTGCCGCTGATTCGCTGGCGCGTCGAAGGAGCGACGGGTTGAATCGTTGCGAGACAAGCGGAGAGTTGCAGATTGCGAATGGCGAGGGTTACGAACGAAGCCTGAGTCAAACATCCTCATGGCTTGCGTCCCTTCGTTTTTTAGTGGAGCCTCTTCCCAAACAACGGTCAGAGCAGATTGGTCTGCCATCCAAATCCTTCCTTACGGCAGCCTTTCTATCATTTCTTCTCGTCATCTTTGTTCTCTGCGCCCACTGTAGCTGCGATGGGTAGAGCCATGCGGTTGCTATGGCTTGCACTCGCCCTGGCGTATGGTTACCAACTCAGGCAGTAACATCTCTCCATTTTTAGTCTTTACAGGCCAACCGACCGATCTGACAACGTCGTCAGTCTTGCAGGCACCGGTGCACACTGGAGGCCGTTAGCGCTCTTGGTGCTGAGCCTGCAGTAAGCTGCTCTCTCTGAGGCCCTTCATATTCATCGTCTAGGCAGATGTTAATACCGCCGCCGCCGGTGACGGGACGGGAGCGCATCCTATTACCTAATGAAGGGGCCAATCAGTCAGTGATCAGGCAGGCTCAAACAAGCGGCAGAACCTAGCAGAGGCTGCCCCAACTAACCGCTAAGGATCACCGGCACTTGCATTGGCTAGCGACACTGGACAGTACAATCTGAGGGGGGTGAACGGCGTTGTATTCGGAACTAACTGTTCACGATCACTTTATACTGAGAGTACAGATATGCCAACAATGAGAAAAAAAAAGAGCAACAACAAAAAAAAAGAAAGGAAAATGAATATACACCTAGAAACGGTGCGGGATAATAATGGTGAAAAGAAGTAGAGGGACCGTTTTTTGTTAGTGGAACAACGCCTTGCAACAACTGAGGCCGTATTCTACGAATACTACTTAGCTTGCACGAAACTGACATTTATTTATGGGTTTCAGTGTTCGGAAAACATCACGAGAAAAATTAATTTACTGAATAAGACACTACAGACTAAGGTTATCGGATGGTTAAAAAAGCACAAAGGATTACAATAGCTTGACTAAACCGACGTTTAAATTCGGGCCGGGCGACGCCTAATCAACGTACATCGGTTTATCCAGCTTTCCATTGACGTCGACTAGATATATTAGTGTTACTAATCATTCTAGCTATCCAATCACTTATGGGTTCGCTGATTGCGTTTATATATCTTGCGTTTACAACATATAAGTAGCCAACACATTGGCCGGTTGTTAGCCCAGACAGCGAACACTTAGGAAAATTAGACGGTGCGAATTACCTTTCTTCAAATTTATATGACCGTGCCTAAATTGCCCCAGGCCGTTGGAAGAACAAATTGTTCACTTATTTTAGAGGTCCAAACAAATCCATCATGGGTCTTTCATGTAGATTTTTCTTTGTTAAAAAGAAGTTATTCATCTTTGAGACCATACACTTCCTCTAATAAGAAAATTATTATCTCATTAATTAGATTGTGCTCGAAGCAAAACGGCACAGCACCCAACAAACTCAACAGGACAAAAGTAGGATCACGTCTCTACTGTAGTAATAGAAAAGCTTCAACAACAGAAGAGCAACCGATAAGGCAAGTTATTTTGCAATATAGACAAAACATTGTTTTTACTTTTATTGGCTGATTGAACGTGATAACACATTCAGACGTATCAGTATTGAGTTCTACGTGTGGCTGTTGTTAGAAACAGCTTTGGCCCGTCCGGAAAACAGAACAAAATGATGATGATGATGACATTAAAGAGAACTGGCTGGATCTGAAATCCTGACTGTGCAATTGGTCAGAAAAGCAGTTTCTTCATTCATTAATTAAATGGTTTGTACCGTTTTTAATCAATGCAAAAATAGATCGTTCGTGTAAATCCTTTCAATACAACTTAAGGACCTAAGGAAGGTTTTAACCAAACTCCTATTGAAAGGCACTTATTTCCCGACAAGACCAAAGGCCTCGTACGACAATGGTCAAACAAAGGTATCGAAACATGAAGCACAGAGAATATAAATGAAAGGTCATCAGTGGTTTTTCGAAATGTTAGTTAAGCGTTAATCAAGGTCAAACGTTACTGCACGGAGTTTTTTCGTTTGTTCTTGTCAAATAATCATTATTGGGATTTAGTCAAACAACAACGTAATTATCTGTGTTGGGCAAAAACGGAAACAAATCAGTGTTAGAAACCCAAGACATTCGACAAGAAGCTAGCTTGAATCTAAACGCCACACCTCTGAACATCCATATAATAATTATACGCATATACATGACGCGCCCCTTTCATCGCTTAATGCAGTACTGCCCCATAATCGTGGCCGAGACAATTTCGTGAGCATTGCAGCCTGTATTGCGACACCCATGACTACTACATGGCTAACTTATATGGCATTTGGTTTCAGACAACTTGGATAGACGATTCGCTAACGTCAACTTAACGCCGGTCACCCTCGAGAACAGTGAGATACTTAGCGCATTCACAGATCTGCGTATAGGGTTTCGTTATTAAGGGCCACAATAGCGTCAGTGAAATAGCATAGCCTGCAAAGTTAAATAGGAGTTTAGATACAGCCATTTTTTGTCTCGATGGAAATCGTTGTCTCTCTTGTCCAGCCTCATTGGCTACCGCGAACAGTGGAGGGCGGATTCCAGCTTAGGAATGCAATACAAAGGCGCTGCAGACTTCACGAAGGCTAGGGCGAAAGTATATTACTTCGTGTTCTGTTGCCTTTGGATACTTCACCCTTACCAATTATCCAATAATAGTAACACGGCTAGCTTTAAAGGCCAATGCATTCTCAATATGAGAGATAATTTCCAAGTAGTGAAGTGAAAACATAACTAACATTGACTTGACAAATTAGCAATATTAATGTAGATTGAATGCCTACTAGTATTTATTGGCACGGCGTAACGGTTACGGCCGAAAACATATGCGTTTAGGGAGCACCCTACTACTGAATAATAAATCTTGTTTGAGCATCGAATACGGCTTCTGAGGAAGATTACATTACACGATGAAGTAATCAACCTGGACGTACTATACCTGTATAAAACTACACAGAAAACAAGTCGT